TTACAGAAAGGTCGGAATCTGAGGCACCATAAACCGGCAGAGCGTAAGAAAAATTTGGTAAAACTATTGCGTTAAAAAGGTGATCTACTTCCTCCTGGGACATTCCTTCCTTACGTAAAGATCCTAATACGAATAATGACTTGTTCGCCTTAATTACCTTCGCGCGCACGTGACTACTGTATTTACAATTTTGTTGGAAAGTAACACCTAATATGGATAACTCTGCGCACTGCGGTATATTACTAACTGGCGCGATGTCCTGACTGAAACCTTTCTTACGGAAAATAATCTCCTTGCATTTTGTTGGATTGCATGTCATGCGATTGCGGCTGGACCAGCTAAGAAACTGATCCACCAAGTCAGTGCGACACTGGCCGTTTCCCCAAAAAGGGACGATAATTGTAGAATCATCAGCATATTTAAACAAGGCTGGGCGACCTTCTAGATTGATCTCCAAGTCATTAATAAACACGTTAAAAAGATATGGCCCACTGACACTACCTTGTGTCGTACCCCTATTGACCTCACGCCACTGTCCCTCAAAACCGTTATAAACTACTCGCTGCTGGCGTTTCTCGAGAAAGCTTAAATACCAGTTCACAATAAGGGGATTCAATGGCAACTGCCTAAGCTTAGATGACAGGAGTTCATGATTGACACAGTCAAATGCTTTACTAAAATCCATTGCAAATACTCGGACGGCTTTGCAGTCTTGCTCGTCTAAATAGCTGTAGATGGTGTGCTGCATGCTCAAGAGCGCATCAGTGCAACTCCCCCCTGTCGTATAAGCAAACTGTGTTGAACTCAGATGCTGTTCGACAATGTCTCGTACATGGATGTTATACACAGATTTCTCGAACGCGCGTGCAATTACAGGCGTGATCTTAATTCCTCTGAAGTCCTGCTTGCCCTTAGGGATGTCGATCTTAGGGAGGGGCGTCACGTGGGCCCTTTTCCACGAGGAGGGCCACTTGCCAGTTTTCAGGGAAACATTCCAGATCTTATGAATGACACTTGTGAAGATCTCAGCGTGATCCCTCCAAATCCAAAAGGGAATGAGATCTGGTCCCATAGCGGTTTTCTTCAGATGTTGTAAGCAATTCCACACGTGTCTTTCTGATATCTGAGGGGCTTCTAAGCTCTTATCCACAATAGCTGGTACAGGCTTCGTATATGCGTCATCAGTGCACAAATCGGCGAAGTAGTCGTTAAGCTCCTCCAGTGATTTGGTGTCCAATGTAACGTTAGCAGAAATGCTGCGTCGTTGGGACAAGTTATCTACGTGCTTCCACCATTCTCTGGATCCGACAGGTGCTTTTGCGAGTGTTCTTCTGTTCTTACTAATCAATTCGCTTATTTTCCTGTTAACCTCAGCCAGCCGATCTTTATTGCTTGGAGCTATTCTTGGCTTTACCCTCATTAACGATTTTAGTAAGGGTGTCATCCACACCGGATCACGCGATGACATGCGCACTGACCGCAACGGCATACACTCATCCATGTGGTGTTTAATTTTTGCTTCCAAATTATTCACTGCCTCCTCGACATCATTTAAGTTTAAGACACTGTCCCAATTCTCACTTACTAGTTTTAGGTACAATCCCTCCTTACGGTGTCTTCTACAATCCCTAATGCGAACGTTTTGTCTGATCGGCTTTAATTTCGTTCCTGCTGGTAAAATGACCGCTGTGTGATCTGTTTTTATGGACACAAAGTATGGAATGCTCTTTGCAAATAAATCCGGCCGGTTTGTAAAGACCTTGTCCAAATACGCATCGCCTCTTGTTGGAAAATCTACAAGAGAGTCCCATCCTGTCATTACAATAAGCTCATTAGTGTCAAGCCGATTAACATCGCCTCCGGCAACAATAGTCAAACCAGGATGTTGATCTAGTGCATTGTCCATTAAGTGGGTTAAGTATTGCAAAAAATCCGCCGGTTGGTATGTAGGTTTAGGCGGGTGATAAATACCACACGTTAATAACAAATGTCCCGAGGGTAATTTAAAAATCACATACAGCAGCTCGTAAAGCTTTGATCTGTAAACATCGATGATGTTTAAGTTACTCCTCGCGTAGATAGCAATCCCTCCCTTACTTAGCAATGGCCGAATTTATACTAGAGACGAGTTATCCGTCTAAAAAAAAAAACGTCTTGATATAAGACTAATTTTGGCCCCAAATTCGTCTCGTCTGTCAGTCAAGTGCGGACAAATTTGGGGCAGAAATTCGTCTGAACACCGAATTTACATCTAGACGATTTACTCCTCTCGTCTGTCAGCACGTCTTATCCAGCAGACTTTGTCACTTCCTACTTTTTTAAAATGAGAAACGTTGGATTTTTTTGAGAGTTTAAAAAGTACAAAATGGCAGCCATCAGCTGTTTTATGTTTCTTTTCTCTTTATTTTGGCTTGTGCACGGGTTTTTCTTTGGCGACTCGCGACCAGTAAGGAAGGCTTACTTCATGTCAGTAACGTCCAGTAACCCATCCAAGGAGCCCAAGGTGGAGTTGATCGTACAGTGGTCGACAGTTTTGGCCCGACCTCTTCGGCGCAAGCCTCAGAAATACACGGGACACAAAATACAGCACAAGTAAGTATATTTTATTTCGTTTCTTTACAGTAAGCAAAAAAGGCGAAGTTTTTTTCGAATTTTTACTCTTCCCATATGAACTATATAAATCGCTTCGTTACGCAACATTGCCAGATGTATTAAAATTTTTAACAAGCGCTCGCCTAGTGTGTTTGAAATGCCTGTGGCCTAGCGTGTTGAAAACGTATTATATGTTGCAAAGGGGGAGCGATGGCGGCTGACTCCCCCCCCTCTTTGTGTATTTTATTGTATGGAGGGTGAGTTTGAGAAAATCATCAAGTAACTTCGAGTGAGCATTAACGACAACAATAACTAACTGCAGAGTCAGCTTCATTGCCTTTCATTTAACCTGCGATCGGATGTTAGGGAAGAAGGACCGCCTGATCGCAGGTTACCTTTTATTTGGTATTTCCTACCCCATACAAACACTGTAATTGTATTAGATTCGTACTGTGGTACTATCAAAGAGCCTGGGCTACCTCTCTCTTGCCGAAAACCGAATTCCAAATCTTTATGACTGAAGCCCGGGGGGATGGGGGTAGGGACTCAACAAAGATTTAAACGGGGAAGACCAGGGGTCACTGAGGTTCTGCTAGCGCACAGCTCTGAATCCACAAGTAAAATGTATAGTCAGGTACTAATTGTTTTATTTTATTTCTTAACAAATGTTGGAAAATAATAGTTTTCTGTCACTGATGGATTAACCAAACCTTCTTCGCAATAAACAAAATTATTTTCTCTTTTTCTATTATTCTTTGTGAAGTATTAAGCATACATCTGTAAGAGAAAGCGACTCGAGTATTTCAAAAGCTTACCGATTAAGAGCCAATAAATTATAAAAACAAAATCCATGGAGCATATCAGATTCACCATGGTGATCACAAAAAATAGTCCTGTTTTGTAGTCCGGGACGATTTGATTTTCCTTTCTCGCAAGGAAATTTTCATGCTAACTTTCCTGGAGACACAGGATGCAAGAAGGTACGTGTTACAGCTGCCGTTACAGCTTGTCATTTGGCCAAGCGGCAACCGACAGGGAGCAAGTACTAGCCCCAAATTTATTTTAATTAGCCCCCCACAAAATTTTTGATGAGCAGGGGTCAATTTAATAAAACTTTTACAAGTGTAATTTACAAGTGTAGCTCTTGTTTTAGGTTCTGAAAACAACAGCTACACTTCTAAATTACACTTGTAAAAGTTTTATTAAAGTGACCCCAGGATTGATTTAAGTTCTTCTGTAATTTGAATTTCCCCCAAAACTTCAGTTGCCTGTCAAGCATTCACTAGCCCAATAGCAACATCCACTAGTCCCGGGCTATCGGACACTACTTTCTTTGCTTGCTGGGGACATGCAAGTCATCCTTTACATCCTTTAATCAAAAACAGACATGCATTCGATGACCCAAGGTAGGCAAAATGCAAGAAAGACTAGTACAAAGGACAAGTTAGAATTCAAGTTTTTTTCAAACCACGTATTTACTTATTATAATAAAGAGACTGAAAGAGGTGATTTTAAGGATGACATAAGCGCTGTTATTGTATATACATTTCCCTATACAAAACTAGATCTGGCACCCAGCTCATCTCCGAGAGGAGAGTCGCAGTGAAACCTATAGAAAGATCTTTCAAAAAATGTACTTAGTAATAAATTTTTGTGGGAAAACATAGGAGGTAACAACTGCGAAGGAGGTTAGAAAACATCATTCTGTGACCATAAAATTTTGCAAACTTTAGCTTTAAATTTCTTCAGAATTACTGACTATAAATTGGAGAAGCTGTATGTAAATCTAACATTAAACCTGAAAAACGTTTAATCTGATAAATAGACAAGTGGATGACCAGAGACCAGGCTCTGCAGTGGGGGAAAAGGCAAAAAAAAAAAATTCGGCAAGCATTGGCTCCCATCGCAAACAGAAATAAAAATAGAACAAACAAACAAACAAACGGGATGGGAATCAGATGAATCAAGCTAGTTCCCTTGAAGAGGTCTCTGGGACAGGAAGAAGAGAGGTCCTAAGAATGAGGTGCAGATGAAACACTTCATGTTTGAGATGTTGTACGTAAAACATATGAACACTAAAAAAAACCCTAAAACCTTCAAAGCCAAACCACTACAGTCAATACCTAAAATCTCTACTTTTGCATCCCTCTTCACTGCTTACATGTTTGTTCACATGTATTGCCCTCTACACAGCCAGTGCCATTATTAACAACCCTGGAAAAACTTTGTAACAGACTAATGGTAGTGGTTGTGAAGAGGTTGGTTGTGTGTTTACAGCTTGAAAGTTGGATTTGATAAACTCAAGAGTTCAGCCAGTCACAATCGCTCAGTCAATGAGTGTACATGTATCTGGTTTGTAAAGTAGGGTTGCCTTCTCTTTTGGTGAAAGGAACTTTCCATCCCTTAAGTTACTCTATGAGCTTCTTGGCGATGAAGAATCGTCGCAGATAAAACAGTTGCCATGTGGCCAAACCAAACAGGCACAGAATGGAAAAAATACTGAAGTACAGAACACGGGAATAAGTTGACTCTGCAAGATAATAATAGACATATTATTAAAATACTGAAGCTGATACAAACTTTCACCAATCAATAAATTGCACAAGGACTTGATGTCTGTGTATAATATTATAATACATGTACTGGTAATGAACTTTTAGGGTGGCTTTGTTATTAAGACAGGCGCAATGAGCTGAAATGAGTTTTTCATCATAACTTTTTTGGTTTAAAGGGATGACTACGAAACTCTGAAATGAACAACAGATGTTATTTGGCAATAATATGAAATAATCTGATTTTACTGTTGGTAAATATTTTTCTCGAAATTAGCACTAAAGTGGACCCTTCTGTTCAAAGAAAATCGCGTCAGTAAGTTTTGAAGCAGCCATAGCAAAATGAATGTTCAATTTTAGCTTTTTACTATGATCAACCTGTAATGTCAAGTAAGCTCAGCCGTAACAAGTGTTACAAGTTACATCCTTTAATGACAGCTTTGAATGATATTTAATACAGTAAAGTAAATATAATAATCTTTACCATTTGTATCTCTCATTTCTTGCTCTCTTTGTCTCATATATGCAAAGTCATTAACAACAGCATCTGCTAAATCTTCCAACCTCTTGAGCTCCACCTCCATTGGTTTCAACTTTTCAGCCTTGGCTAACTACAAAAGGATCAAAACAAAATCACTATTTAGTGTCTGTAAATTCTTTTCTTCAAAGAAAACTGCTTTAAATTCAGAGCTCTCACTTCAATCAAATAAACCACAAAAACAAAGAAGTATCAGTTGAATAAGGTTTTGTCCAACGTCGCTAAGAACTCTCTGAGTGAGAAGGTTATAGACAGAATGTATATGTCAGGAACATGTGGCTGTCTGCCTCTTACTTTACCTGGACAAAATCCTATAGTGTGACCACTTGATGTATTACAATCACTCACTCACTCAAGCTCTTCATCCAAGCTGAGACATAAGGTGGCAATGCATTACAATATTGCTACAAAAATCAAAACTTACATCTTCATAGTTCTTTGCTTCCACACCATGTTTCACATTTAAAGTAACTTCTCTTTCTACTCCACCTCCTGCATGACCTTAAATTTGGAAGAAAGTATTAGTAGAAATTCTGTTTCATTTGGTGCACAAGCATGCAGAAGAAATGTAACTGCCTATTATAATACTCTATGGCACAAAAAGTAGTTTTGGATTGAACAGCTTTTTGAAGTGGTACTTTCTAACATGAAAATCCCAAGGACAATAATTGTTGGCTGGTGTGGGAAATGCATGTATGCCAACTCGGTGTCCTCGCCAAGATTTTGCCTTGAGGAGTCCCAGGGCCACATAAGAACATTAGGGGGACAAAGTTACTTGTGGCCCATGATTGGTGTGGAAAAAATTCTTCATGATTTCTCTGCCTTCCATTTCATCAAGTATGTTCAAAAGGGAACTCTTGTAATGGTGGTCCTTCGGCTGAAATGACCATCAGGGTGTCCAACCTCTCTGCTTGTAGCAAATTTCTCAGACAGTTTTTAAGGTTGCTTTGAAGGCTACATTATCTTCTTCATCATTATCTCCACCAGAATTTCCATCATCATCTACTCTTTTTTCAAGTCCAGGGACTTTTGGACAAAAGAAAGAATCTAACCTTCACTGTGCAACGGTAGACTGTTCACAGTCCCCTGGTGTCAAAACTACTCAGCAGGTGGAGGGCAGTTTAGGAGGAAGCAAAAACTGCCCCCTGCCCCCTAAGTAGTTTTGACACTCATCAAATCACATAACACAAAGCACTTGACCTAAACAATCTTACAGAAAAATAGGAGGCTGTGAACAGTCTATGCCATGGTGCATCAGATGTTTCTTTGTCAGCAAAAACCATGTGGTACGAATAACCTGAGCCCGCACTCCAAGTGATCTGTTACATGAAGTATCTACTTGATCCAATATGGCAGACGGGGTGGTTACGATTTGATAACAATGCATGCACCAATCTTCGCAATGTACGTGGGACTAATGAAAGTCAAGGACAGGAGTGTAATTTACAAGTGTAGCTACACTTGTAAAATTACCCAATACGCTTCAACTGAGCAACTTCGCAATACCTGGCCACTTGTCAGAATTCATTATACCACAAAGTTCAACACAATAGGGACTACTGTTATTAAACAAGATACATTGGACAGGTATTCTGAAGTTTAGCCGATTTAACAAGTGAATGACTGACTTTGTTCAGCATTCAGCTCATTTCTTCTCCTACCTTCACTCTCCAAGCATACTTTGTACATATCATAGTCATCAGTTGTAAAAGCAAATTTGCCCTTGGTGGCGTCTTCTTTCTTATATAGTACATGCCCAGTTGAATCCGTTACCTAACAAAAGGAAATCACCATGTGCACAATATGAACTACAAGCGCATGTAAATAGTTAAATGAACTATATCGGATGCAAAATTATCATTAACGAGGTACAATTATTTTCTTTCCATTCAACCTTCTATAAACTAAAAGTACCATGCATGTACCTACCGTTAAATGCGTTTTCTGATGAGGGGCATCTGATAATCTGTATTCACCCGTAACAAGAACATCTTTGTGGACTTCTTCCCTGAGACACTTTTCTTGTCCAGGAGGCAAATTGAACGAAAGAGAGCTAACTACGGCTAAATAACTCAATAGAACTACTGGAGAGACTATAAAAATTGAGGAAAGCTTCATTTTGAAAATATACGGTTTTCAAGACGGAATATAATCTGCTTTTTCGTTCATGAATCGGCTTTCAAAATGGACGGCGACGTGGCATTACAAGAAGTAACAGAAGATCCGGGAATTCTTCCTTCGACGACCTACCGCTGATAAAGCGCGGGCGTTGGTAAAACACAGGCAGGCCTGGTGACAGAGCCAAACAAATTTTAGTCAGCAGAGAGGAGAGAGTGATTGTTGAGGCGAAGTTTGTCCATTTTCTTAAAATGTCGGGTGGTGGAAAGGACAGATTGAACATTTTCCCTTCAAGAATGTAAGCTAATTAATTATTTTCGAGATTGAAGAGAGTTTATATGGGGAATTTTGATGAAAACTGCGTTGTTTTTGTCCCAGGGCCTTGACGTTGATGAAAGCTCGGCTGAAGGGAGCTCAGAAGGGTCACAGTCTTTTGAAAAAGAAATCTGATGCTTTGACAATGCGCTTTAGGAAAATTCTCAAAAAGATTATAGAAGTAAGTGCTGGAGATTTTTCCGTTACTGTAAGGTGTTAATCGTTGTTTGAACTGAAAATTCCTACCTTTGAAATGTTGTCTTTTGATCTTGTAGACCAAAACTTTGATGGGTGATGTAATGAGAGAAGCGACTTTTTCTTTAGCCGAGGCAAATTTTGCTGCTGGGGATTTCAGGTAATAACTGACTGAGCTAATTGTTAAATGAACAATTTCAGCTAGGCCCTCAGTTAACCTCGGTTTTTACTTTTCATAGAGGAGAAATTCAGTCACGTGATGTACACTGTGCAAGTATTTATAAATACCCGAAAAAAATGTTTTTAATTTATTCTGACACGGCCTCTTTTATTTCCCTTCTTGCCGAGGTACATTAACTATTAGTTTTGTACTTATGTTAAGCACTTTCATCTTGCATTTTCAGCTATGTTGTACTTGAAAACGTTGACAAAGCACAGACAAAGATTCGTCTGAGGAAAGACAATGTTGCTGGTAATGTTATCTTAAGTTACTTTTGACGATTTTGGGTTGATTCACCAAACCAAAAGAGCCAAACAGGACAAATCTACATTGGGGCATATTTTTTGTACTCTGTTGTTTAGTCAGAAGAAGTTGTGTACAATTCAAGTAGGGTACATCATTGCCCATGCAACAATCCTGAAGGATTGCTAGCAATCTTCTTTAATAGCAAAAATGAAGAAAAGATCTGTATAATTCTGTGACATTTGTTATCTGACTATGGTATAAAATTAATTATTTATACCTGAAGATGTCTAATTTTGCATAATTTCATGTACTTCTTCCAGGAGTTCATCTTCCAATCTTTGAAGCTTATGCAGATGGCACCAACAGTAAGTCACCACTGGTATTATCTTTTAATTTTAGCTCAGGATCCCAAATTACTGCAATGAGTTAGTCCAGCTGTAACAACTGTAACAGATGTTGATCAAGTTAGTACAACAAGCTAGAGATTCAGACTAATCTTTTTAATCCCTTTACTTGTTCCCAGGTTATGAGCTGACAGGTTTATCTCGTGGTGGCCAGCAAGTTAGTAAATGCCAGGAAGTGTATGGTAAAGCTGTCAAGCTACTTGTTGAGCTTGCATCCCTTCAGGTAAATACACATTATATAGTACAAGTCATTAATTTTCTTTTTTTTCTTCTTCTTCTTCTCCTTTATTAGTGTATTCCTACCTTACTATATATAATGCAAATATTTTATAAAGTGTTAATAATAAAATTGAATAAAATTGAAAAAAAAAAAGTTCTTACTTCAGCTGGCGACATACTTTTGCCTTTGGGTGACAAGCAAATGGTGGTGGTTGCATAGAATGTAAATGCCAGATGCCCTGGATTTCTAAGATGTAGGGCTTTTGTATTCCCTAAAATTTATCTTGGAGAATGGCACTGATGATTGTGAAGAAGCTCAATAGAGAAACCATCCAAAATGTTGGGGGATGACAACCAGTGGGATTGGATTTTTACTGTGTTGAAATAATTATTTGTTCAACTTTTCCATCTGTTTCAGAACTGTTATTTGTTTTTGCTTGCAGACTGCCTTTGTTACTCTGGATGAAGCTATCAAAATCACAAATAGAAGAGTGAATGCCATAGAATATGGTAAGGTTTCTTTCTGGGCATGTTGACAGGATGTAAGGTGGGGGATGGGGGGCAGTGCATAACCTGCCTAAAAGGATATTGAATTAATAATATTAGTGGTCCGCCTTCCCATATGGTTACGGTCAGGGAGGAAAATACAGTCGACTACTGATAATTCAAACCTTCTGGGGAAATCTAAAAAAGTTTGAGTTCTTGGGAGTTTGAAGCAAATTACCAGAAATAAGGAAATAAGCAAATGGACTGACTTGTCAGGCTCCTAAAACATGGTCTGATCTGAAGGGAAACAAAAATTACTTCGAGTTAGCAGGAGGTGCGAGTTATCAAGGGTTTAAGTTACAGAGGGTAAAATTACAGCAAGTGTATGAAGGAAATCCAGGGGAGGTTCGAGTTAACGAGGGTTGGAGTTATCAGGAGTCAACTGTACCTACTTTCCTACTGTAATCATTCAAGGTGGAGTGATCCTTTTTAAGTTTTTTATCCCTCTTCTCTGCCCCTACCAATAAATGCTGTTTAAAATTGAAAAATTGTCAACACAATCCTTATCCCCAGAGAGAGGGAGGGTGGCCTTAATGATGTAAATGTACATATAAATTTGTTTTTTGTTCTTTGCAGTTATTATCCCCAAAATTGAAGCTACAATATCATACATCATAGGAGAACTTGATGAAAGAGAAAGGGAAGAATTTTACAGGTTTGCAAACTTTTTGGAGTGATATAGAAGTCATAATGGTCTGGTCATTTATTGTAATTGCATTTCTCGTTACAGAAACTGTCACACTGTCACAATGAAACAACAGAAACTGTCACAATGTCACACCATTTGCTGTCTTTTTAGAAAAGTCAAAACATGTCTTTGCATCATTTGAATTCCAAAAATAATTGTCCAGTTTTCTTATTTAAGACTACATTTAGGCATTGAAACGTTGTTTTCTGCTGTCTGTCGCTACAAATGGCAAGGGTGGACATGGATTAAAACTTGAAAAAATTGGGCTAACTGTAGAGCGTTTGACTGTAGAGCGGGAGATCGCGGTTCAATTCCTGGGGCTGGACCATTACTCAGGGTCTTGAAATAACTCTTAAGGTACATTTTATTTTTGGGTATGGTTTACCCACAAAGTAATGACTTAAGCACAGAATTGATTTAAAATGGCAATATCCTGGTGACAAACGGTGTTGCCCCCTTCTTCCTTCCTGGCCCCCTTGGCTTGTACATGTGTGCACCTTTTCTTTGTTAACCCTTTAAACGCTAAGATAAAAATTTGAATTCTCATTTGCTGCACCTATTCATTTCCTACAGAAGTAGAGGGGAGAAGTTGATAAAATATCAAGCAAATTCATCTTGTGTGATCATGTCTGTAATTCTCATGACCGCTCTGTTTTACAAAGCATTGATATTACAAAGAGAAATTTGATGCTGATCACTCTTAGGGCTTTAAACCTACTCAGGGCTGGGATAAGTCATTGTACTTTTGTAAATAAAAAGATGTACACCCCACACCTGTACAAACGAAGCAGATAGCACAAGCATTTGCAAGAATAAACTTTGGGCCCTGAAAACTGGTATCCTAATATTTTGCAGGCTTAAGAAAATTCAAGAAAAAAAGAAGATTATGAAACAGAAGGCTGAAGCAGCAAAGAAAGCCAGGGGCATAACAGAAGGTTAAAAGAATTGATTGTTACTATTATGTAGGCCATGTGCATGGTGATGTCGTTTTGATACTAAGACCAGAATCCTTCAGGAGGGTGTTGCTTTCTTGTGCAAATAGGCCACTTGCACTAAGAGGTCACGTGACCAATGCTTCCTTTAAAGAATGAGTTGGAATCTTGCTGATGCCAAAAATTGTTAGAGCACACAAAAATTATCTTATACCCGAAATTTGAGAGGAAACGCATTTAAGGGAGATATTTTATGGCACTTTGATTTTTCAGCAAAGTAGTATGATTTGTATTGGCCGCCATGTTGGAGGGCATGCTTTTGCCCTCCAACATGGTGGCCAAAACTACTTTTTGCTTATATCTTGTTCAACGTTTCATAGTTACACTCAGATGTGCTGTAAATGTTATCACATCATCTTTTCAACATTTTCCTTGAAGTTTAAGTGCAAAATTTGTGTTCAGAGAGAGGTAATTCATAATTTTAAAAATCACATTTTGGTCACGTCACCATTTACGAACTTATTCATTTTAAGAAAATGGTGTGGGTTTGAAAAACCAAATGACTATTATTTTGTTTAAGATATGACCCACTAATTATTGTTTTTCGAAGGCAAAATCATATAACTTTCATTTGCATAAAAACGATGTCACATGCCTCTTAGTGCAAATGGCCCATTAGGACTTTTGTTATTTGAACCTCGCTGGGATTACTAAATTTGAATATGAAAGAGAAAATGAAAAGGATTCTGGTTGTATAGTAAAATGACGCCATCGTGCAATGGCCTATTATACATTTGTCATCGTCAGTGAACAACTACATAATTATACTTGTTAATGTTACCAAAGACATTTCAACAAAATAACAAGGCGGTATTATATCAAATAATTTAAGTAATTTTTATTTGATAGTGCCTAAAATACAAATATGTACTGTACCTCTCACAGTTTTCTGTCTTTTTTTAAAGTATCATGAAAAATGATTTGCCCGAGTTATATCTGTCTTTCAACACCTTAACCGAGTGCTTATTTCTGTCTTTGTGTTTAGACCAAACTGCAAACCTGCTGGAAGATGCCGAGGATGAGGACTTGCTATTCAAGTAACATTTTGATTAAAATTGTCAATGATATGAAAATTTTTCTTAGCCTTGGTAGCCTGTGCAGCCTGGATAGCTGTGCAGCCCACGGTGTACATGTAATTTTGCCGATTAACATTATTTTATCAATGACAAATGAAGAAAAAAAATTTTATTATTAACACAAAATTGCTGATTGTGGAGACAATCTTCAGTGCTTCTCGAATGTCACAATTTTGGGAAGCTTTTTGTGTGAGACAGTGTATAAGCAATAATTCAGTTCCTAGGAAAAGCACTTGTGTTTGTGTCGATCTTTCTAGGTGTTTATAAAAATCAGTAGTGTCAATGAATGGGTGAATCTAGAGCTGATAAGCCTATGATGATAGTGTAATAATAAACTATATGAACCACAGTAAGTGTATTAAAATAATAATAAAATTTATTATAATTATTCATGATGCAGGATAAACAGCCAAAATGTTTTGTACAGTGTAAAACATTGTACTCTGTTTCTCCCATTCTGTTTTAGTTAGCACACACAGTGAAAGAGGGTCAAGGACAATTACTGTATTTTGTCACCCCAAGGCTTTAGTTGGTGTGTGTGTTCACAGGAATGTGGGAATTGTATATTGTCAATTTAAGGGTTAGGGGCAAAGGTGCATACAAGGCAAACGCCCAAACAGCCAAAGGTTATCCTGGTTTCCTTAGCATGAAGCATGCCTAGGAGTATTGCTACTCCCCCCTGGATGGGATGCTAGCCCATTGCAGGGTTACCCCTTAGTAGTATGTCGCTGGTACCCATTTATACACCTGGGTGAAGTGGAGTAAAGTTCCTTGTCTAAGGAAACAACGCGAAAGGTGAGGCTTGACTCCCGGACCTCCAGATCCAGAGTTCGAGGTGTTAAGCGCTCCGCCACACATGCCTCCACATTGTCAATTTAAGATAATTTAAAATGCCAACTTACTGCACTGACGTAACAGCATTAAGTGCTAATAAAAAGAAAAACATCCTCTGATCAAATTCCTGCATGTGTACAAGAGGAGAGAGAGCCGTTGACAGTGTTGTTAGACCTACTATAGTGTGGTGGTTGGCCAAAATTTTTTTATGTGTTAGGTTTGTGACATTCCAGGGCTCTGTCTAAGGTTAATATAAATCTTATCTAGGTTTTAGGAAACAAAGCATGGAATTACTCACAAGAAATAATAATGTCAAATGCTTATTGAAAAATCAGTTTTCAAAAGGTCACTAGTGAGCTGGTGCTCTTCTAAAGCATTATTGCCTCCAACTAATTTATTAAAAAATTGCAATAAGATTACGAAGTTATTTTATTTAGAGTCAACTAGACGCTTCCATTTATGTTTGACCATTATTTGTAAACAGTTTATTATTAATTCTGGTTATTATAAATAAAACTAATTTTAAAGATGCTTTGAGATGGACAATAAAGACAGGGATCCATATTAGCAGTCATCAGGTGGTCTGAGACAAACATAACATTGTTCAGACAAGCATGATAACACAAAGAATTGTCCAACAGACATTGAACTAAATTTTGAAAGCTTTTGACAAACAATAATTTGTACAGGATGGTTTTACTTTCAAATATAACTTTGTTTCAAACATTACAATAATAATGTCAAACCTCAGAATTTCAAAAAAACTGCTGATCCTATACTTTTACCCCATGGTTTGATCATTGCTAAGGCACTGGTATTTGAAATTAATGTATCCTATCTTCTACAGTATCTGTTTTGGTTGTCTTTCTGGTTATTATAAATAAAATTAATTTTGAAGATGCTTTGAGATGGACAATGAAGACAGGGATCCATATTAGCAGTCATCAGGTGGTCTGAGACGAACATAAGATTGTTCAGACAAGCATGATAACACAAAGAATTGTCCAACAGACATTGAACTATATTTTGAAAACTTTTGACAAACAATAATTTGTACAGGATAGTTTTGCTTCCAAATATAACTTTGTTTCAAACATTACAATAATAATGTCAAACCTCAGAATTTCCAAAAAAACTGCTGATCCTATACTTTTACCCCATGGTTTGATCATTGCTAAGGCACTGGTATTTGAAATTAATGTATCCTATCTTTTACATATCTGTTTTTGTTGTCTGTCTTTCTGTTTTTCACTAAGACTGGGCTGACAGCAAAAACAGCTAATTAATTTTTGTTTCTTGTCTTCTTCTTGTCCTGCTACTGGTAGACACATCTTCAGAATCATTCCTTTAGTGTCTTATTGAGTAGTACAACTGCAGTGTAAGTCAGTCATCCTAAAGAAAAATCAGCAGAGAAATTCAGATCGTTCATGAATAATTATTCCCTAAATGTGGATTTCTTTGTTTTACTGAGAAAGTCAACATAAAAATTGGTTTATAGCAATGTTTTCAAGTGGAGGTTTAACCAGCAAGTGGACATTTTTTTCATAATTTAACAACTTTTGTTAATTTTTTTCACACTGAAATAATATAATACAAAAGCTACAAATTACTTAAAACCACCACAGAGCTACAAAACACAAAACATCCGAACCAATGTCAACATGCACTGCTTAGATTGCAGCCACTAAAAATACAAATTAACTATCGAAGAACCCTTGACAATGCTGGCAAAATAAATATAAGAACAATAAGAGAAAAATACAGCTATACAGAGACATTAGTGTTACACGCCTTGAAGACTGCAGTTAATGGGAAGGAAAATCACACATGACTCATGTGTTAACCCTTTCACTACTATAGGCTAATGACCCCCAAACCCCCCAGCTTCCTGAACAATTATCAAGGATCAAAGATGGCTGTGATACTCGATCAAAACATGCATGCTCAGTAGATTTCAGAGCCTTGTTTCACACAATAAACTACACAATCATGAAGCCAAGGAGTCAATTTATTTGTCTGAAGAATTAATAAAGACAACTCTCCCTGCTTTCACAAGATATCTAAGATAAAATTGCAAGTAATGAAAAAAATTCAAATTTGCGGCCATTCCCAGCGCCTATTGTCAAACATTGAGTGAGAATTTATTTCTAAATCTATCACAATATAGCTTACTTTTTTACAAAAAAACAAGAGAAATTGTCAGAATATATAAAAAATATAATAGAATGGCTCATCCTGCCAGATTTGTGTTGGTAAATAAGAAAGTTTTATGACCTTGAATGGAAGTCATTGTGACAGCTGGTTCGGCACAGTGCCACTTTGCAAATGCTACACTCATATCTTGTTTCCACTTTGTAGCCCTTGTAGGTGCAGATCTAGGGGGAGGGTGCAGGGGGTACACCCTCCCCCCCCCCGGAGATGGCCTGCGGTTTTCTAAAAAAAAACTATGTGGTTTATTGGTGTTGAAGTAGAGCAAGAGATGAGTGCACCCCCTCCTAAAAAAAATCCTGGATCCGCCCCTGCCTTGGGTGTTCTTCGCCCACTATCTATGCATTGAACACATTTTCTTTTTCTGCCCTCTATACGAACTGAAACATGCTGACCTTGAGGGACAGCATGGTTTGGTGGAACCTCGTTCGACCTACACTTTCATTTTTGTTGCGAAAAGCCATCGATTAGTGTTGTTGTGTGAGGTCAAGTTTGAAATATACCGATTCACGCTTCGATCCAATGTGTTCTGATTCAAGAACAAAAGCATTACAAACAGATACATTAAAAAGAAACCAAAATATGTATCTATACGACTTTTTTGACTGCCACCCAGAGCAATAAAAAGAACGAAGCTGGTCAGCACGATCCACAGCGCCCATGTGAGCAGTGTAAACATCTGAAACTCTTGGCTTTTCAATATTCACATTTTACCCATTATGAATGTGGGGAACCGGTCGGGAGGGCTCATCAGGAGAAACATTAGTTGAAAGAAAAGCAACATCTCGCTTGTCGTGCCACTTAGTAAAAACAAGTTGACCGCATTGAGCCCTATAGCCATTTCTCCGAACCGTAGCTTGTGTTTCGTGCAAGGAGCTGTTGTGACCGATCTGGTCGGCAAATAATGGAAGATTACAACGGATTCAACCTTGGACGATGGCTTTATTTCGCCTACACGACTCGTGGCTCCTGATTCCCTAGTCAGGCGTTACAATGTCCTACCGAGAGGGAGTCTGGGTCCTAATACACAACATCCCTCCCCATTTAGATAGCGAACAATAACATTTAGCAGAAGTAGAAACAAAATAATAATTGGTCCAATAAACATAAACATGGACTAGCAACAATGTCAACAATGTCTGTGAGAATTCAGTGTCTCTAAAGTTTAAGTACAATAGTCTTTGAGATAACTTGGGGCCACTCTGTGTCTCTGGGACCTCCTAAGTGGAACTTCAGGCTCAATAACATTTGGTTCCGGTATCACCACACTCTGCTGCGGGGTCAGTTTATCCTGCTTGTGGGGCTCCCCGGTCACCACCACTTCCGGTACACTTGGTGTATCATCATGTGTATCACCATTCTCTAGCAGTTTCTTTACATGAGATGTATTGCGGGAGTATTGGGCTCCTCCTGGAGATTGCACGATCAAGCTGTTCCCGTGCTTGTTTACCACAGTGTACGGACTTGGTTCAAAACGGGTTGTGAGCTTATTTTTCCTCTCTTGTTGCACTAGCACTTGATCTCCAGGAAGTACCTCTGAGTACCTCGCATTCCTTTGCATGTCAGCGTACGCTTTGCTCTTACTCTTCTGTTCGTTGTCCCTATCACGCACTTCTTGTTCGACATGTACATCGCTCAGCTCAGGAAGCTTGGTGCGTACTTTCCGTCCGAAGAGCAGCTCGGCGGGGCTTACACCAGTCGTTGGGTGAGGTAAGCTTCTGTACGCTGCAAGATAAACATTCAGCTCTTTCTTCCAGTCCTTCTTTTGAGCATGTGCGATTTGGAGCCTTTTCAGAAGTGAGCTATTTTGGCGCTCAACTTCTCCATTTGCCTGGGGCCATTTTGCTGTTACCCTGTGGTGTCTGATTCCCTGCTGCTCCATGTACTCTGTAAACTCTGTTGCTACGAACTGTGGTCCATTGT